ACCCCAGAAAATGCCCCCAAAACTGCCAAAAATCTCCCCAAAAAATGCTCCAAAATGAACCCAAATTACCCCAGAAAATGACCCCAAAACTGTCCCAAAATCTCCCCAAAAAATGGTCCATAACTGACTCAAATCTCCCCCAAAAATGCTCCAAAACTGACTCAATTCTCCCCAAAAAATGAACAGAAACTGACCCAAATCACCCCAGAAAATGACCCCAAAACTGTCCCAAAATCTCCCCAAAAAATGGTCCAAAACTGACTCAAATCTCCCCAAAAAATAAACAGAAACTGACTCAAATCTCCACAAAAAATGAACAGAAACTGACCCAAATCACCCCAGAAAATGCCCCCAAAACTGTCCCAAAATCTCCCGAAAAAATGGTCCAAAACTGACTCAAATCTCCCCAAAAAATGCTCCAAAACTGACTCAAATCTCCCAAAAAAATGGTCCAAAACTAACTCAAATCTCCCCAAAAAATAAACAGAAACTGACCCAAATCACCCCAAAAAATGCCCCCAAAACTGACCAAAATCGCCCCAAAACATGGCCCAAAACTGACTCAAATCTCCCCAAAAAATGGTCCAAAACTGACTCAAATCTCCCCAGAAAATGAACAAAAACTGACCCAAATCACCCCAAAAAATGACCCAAAACTCTGCATTTATTTGGCCTCATTTCCTCTCAAAAACAACATCTCCAATTTAGTTGATTGCTAAAGCCATCATTTTAAAATCATCCCAGGAATCACAAGGGACTGGAAAACACACAGAAAGCATTCCTACACCCACCAAATCATCAGGAATTGGAACCCCATTCCCTCATCTCCCTCCTTGTTTTTCTTGGCTGGAAAACCTGATGATCCCCGCTCGCTATTTTTAGGCTGCTTTTCTTCCACAGCTCCTTTCTCCCGGCTGAAACCTCCCGGCATATTCAGGGCTTATCCGGAGGGAAGCCCCTCGGAAGTATTTCCTCTCGTGGCAATTCTGTGGGACGAAGAAGTAAAAAAAGCCCGTCAGGAGCTCCTTCTCCCCCCTTCCCTCGCAAACACCCTCCCGGTTTGTCCTCGGCAGCTCCATCCCCCCCTGGCACCCGCCCCCGACGCTTCGGCTCCCCTGGGAAAGGGACAGCAAGGGCAGGAGCAAGCTCAGTGCTGGGCAGGGGCTCCCTGGGGAACGGCACTTCCGTGCTTTAGTCCGGGGCCTTTCCTGCTGCCCTCCCTCCTGGAGGCAGAGGATGACCCGTCCCTTGTTCCTCCCACGCTCGCAGACCCAGGTCCTGCTCTTTTGGCCCCACTTTTCTTCGCAGACCCGGCATCATTTTCCAGGCTCCCCAGGAAACTTCTGCACTTGACCCATTGCTAAGTGCAGAGCACAGGGCAAGGCAAGGACAAATTTCTCAGCACCCACCACCTGGAACTTTCCTTCTCCGCAGCACGCTCCCGTTCCCGCTGTCTCTGGAGGTGCCCGCACGAGTCCTCCTCGTCCCAGCACCTAAGAGAATGTCATTTTCACCCCGGTCCTGCTTCCCGTCGTCCAACAAAACACGCTGACAACATTTTTCACCATGCCAGTGGAGAGATATCAGAGCACACTGCACAGGGAAGCCGAGGCTGCCCCTGGATCCCTGCAAGTGTTCCAGGCCGGGCTGGACGGGACTCGGAGCAACCGGGGACAGTGGAAGGTGTCCCTGCCCACGGAAGACGGGGTGGCCTTTGAAGGTCCCCTTCAAACCAAATCGCTCTGGGATTCCCCTCCAAAATCCCTACCAAAGAGGCACAGCAATCAAAGCAGAGGGACTGCACTCCCAGCTTTTCTTACCTGCAGGCACGCTGGACATAAAAGCCGCAGGCTCAGTCCTGCCAGAGGCGTCCGGCACATCCACGGCGACCGAAGGGAAAGAGGGAGCCTGGGAACACGGAGTAAAAGACACCTTAATTAGGACTGCACCGAGCAATAGCCAGGTCATTCCCACAGACAGCTTCGCCGGCCAGTCACACGAAAAGCACTTACCCAGCAGGGCCTCAGTTAGGATGGCTCCTGACGCTGACCAGGCGAACGCCTCCGTTTGCCCCGGGGGGTCAAGAAGAACATCCCTGGTAAGAAGTCACCCCGAAGGACAAAAAGGGAAAATTAGTGAAGCACGGGCTCCTCTTCTGACTAGACTGCCACCAGCATTCAATAGCAAATGCCACGACTATTCTGTTACAGACGAGAAAACCCTGTTCTCCCAAACAAACAGCGAGGAGATCTATGGGCACGCCTGAAAATTTCCTGGGAGGAACTTTTTGTAACTAAGGAGCAGGTGCTATCTTGAGTTGAAGGCATCACTCCCTCAACCCCAAGGCATCCTTAGGACGCCTCCGACTCCGGATTTAAGGTCGGAGAAGCTCGGCAGGGCCAAAACACCGCCGCTTTCCCACGGGCGTCGCTTCCCAGCCCGCCCCGAGCGCCGGGCCCTGCCTCACAGTCGCCGCCTGGCGGACACGGCCGGGAGCGGCACTGCAGCCGCGCGCCCCCCCCCCTCGGCGAGACGCGCGGCGCCTTTCGCGAGTACGGGCCTTTCTTCCCTAAAACCTGCCCTTCCCTAGGGAAAGCTGAGCAATTCACACAGTTGCTGTTTTTATTCCGGCTTCTCAAAGGATTTCTCTCTCCCAGCGGCGGCAGCGGCAGCAGCAACGCTCCCCGGGAAGCCCTGACCGAGGCTGGGAATTGACACACAACAAGCCAAGAGCATGAACTCGGCCCCAAAACACTCCACAACAAACTAATTTACAGTCACCTTTGCCTCCTCCCCCCCGCGCTGGCACAGGCTTTGGGATTCCAAGGCAAACCCCGAGAGGCCCAGAGAGCAGCAGCCCCTCAGCCCCAGCACGGCCTCCCCCGGGGTCCCCCGGCCGGGAACCGGGCTACCCAGCCCCTGCTGTGCAGCACAGCATGCGGGGGGATGACTTTCGGGACCCCTCCCTGGCTGCCGCACAGCAACGCAGGCATCGGGGCCAAGTCCTGCCCGGCCCCTGGGCAGTGCAGACAGTCCAGCCCCAGCAGCAGCGGGCTGTTCTGCCTCTTGCTCCCCTCTCCTTTGGAACGGAACGGTGAGGAACAAGCCCCGGGCACAATCGGCACCTGCCTCCTCCAGGCTCTGGGCTTCCTTTGCTTTCTTCCGCCACAATTCTCCTGCCCCGGCAAGCGTTAAAAGACAGACTGCCCGGTGAGACGTGCCCCGAAACAGCCATCAGTTCCGAGGCCAGAAAATCTCAGGGCCACACTTAGAAACCCTGCCGCGAGGCCCCCGGAGAAGCCAAGGGGAGCTGGGATTCCCTGGAAGCCCAGGGAACCGGGGGGGGGGGGGGAGGGGGGGAGAGAACACCCCCCCCCCCCCCCAGCTGCTTCTCCCCGCAGCCCCCACGGCAGGTGCAGCGAACACACATCGCTGCGGAGTTCTTTGGAGAGCTTTACAATAAATTAATAAACAATCAGTTTACCAAAAACCCCTTCTGCAGTCCGTGCTGTCTAACAACTCAAATTGCTCACTAAGAGAACTACCTGATTTAGAACAACTGAATCATAGAACCTCAGTGCTTATAAAATGTATTCACTGGCACACAAAAAAATTGCAAGTAGCGAGACCCACATCGCAAATAAGTCTTTGCTTGAAAAACAAACAGAAAAAAGAACCCAAAACACCAAAACAGAGCTGTGAGGGGAACCAAAACATGGCCGGAAAAGAACTAGTTATCGTAAGCTCTCACCTGCAGGAGCTTTAGTTTGAGAACGGTTCCCAGCTCCCACGTTGGGCGGAGTTTGTGATTTTAGCAGCCCCTCAGCTGCCCGGCAAGGCTCGTGTCCCACCTGAGAATGCTGCTTTCCCCCAAAGGTCGGGTCTGGAAGCAATACGTGGTGGAGTAGAGGACTGGACAGAAGGACCTACTGCTGCCACTCCCCTTGGAGCAGAAGCCACTGGCTCAGGTCAATTCCATCTGAAGAAACCTTTTTCTTTTTTATTTAGCTTTTAATTTGATTTTTACTTTTTATTTGATTTAAAAAAAAAAATTTATTATTTTATGGCAGTTCCAACCAGATAAAACCAGTTCCAACCTGATCAAACTGTTTCCGACCTGCCTCCCCTGGGCCACCTCTTGTCTGCACCACCAGCACTGGGGCTGGGTGCTGCCCTTCCCAAAGGAAAATAGAGTCATTCTCTTTCTGGAGCCCACCTCCAAAACTTAACCACCACCTTCGGAACACAATATATGCAAGAACTGCTCCCACACGAGAGAAGTGCCAGGACAGAAAGCTCTGTCTGGCCTTTACCTCCACTGCAAGGACTATTATCTGCACCACCAACAGCTTTTCTGTCTGACACACTCAAAGTCAGCCAGCACCCCCGTAATCTCCTTCACTCCCTTCCTTAAGGAAAAAAAGCTTACCAAGTTGCACCGCAACAACTCCTCCACCAGATGAGTTTATTGAAACAATTTTTAAAAGCAGGTATTTCTGAGTGTACTCCATCAATCCCAACAGTTCAGAAAAACAACTGTCCAGCGTCCAAAGAAGTGTGCATGTGACAAACGGTACTACTGTAACTCATTTATACCACAACAGGAGCACAAATGTTACTCATTGCGCAAATTGCTACAGTTCCCCTCAAAAAAGTAGGGCACATGTGGAAATAGCTCTTAACCCAAGGTTATTACAGCTGTCCCCATGCCTTGGACCCCAAGATCAAGTCACTAGTGTTCTGATATAAATCAACAGATTTTTTTAAAGTGTTTTCTTTTTTATGTACATTTAAATTTGATCCCAGTTAGGGCTTTTTTTTGAAGGACTATTCTTATATGGTAATTAGTGGAAAGTGTAACATTTGAATATTTACTACAATATAAATACTTCAAAGTTTTTTTCACCTTCATTTTGCTCGACCTCTTTAGCCACACTAATCTGAAGAAACAGGTTCCATGGACGAAATTAGAAAACAAACCAAAAAACAGAAAAAAAAACCAAAACAAACCCACAAAACCAAAACCCCCAAATCCTGACACAAACAGTGGATTTAAGCAACTTAGAAAAGAAAGGAGGGTCCAGAGTTCAAGGGTAAACCATTACTCCTACAAAATGACAGGTGTTTGGAGCTTAGGAAGTGCTGCCATCTACACACGCACAATGATCACAAGTGTAATTGTTTGCCTGCATTAAAATAATTCAGCAGCGATTTGGGATTTTCCTTTCGGAGAACAGTCTTCAGAGTTCCATATTCTGAGTGCAAATCACTTTTCAGCTACTCCACTTGGAGTGCAGCACAGCTGCTTTTTAAAGGTCAGGTTCCATTTGAACGTGTCTCTACTCTTCAGCTCAAATGATTTTCACATATTTGAATGTTTTACCAGCCCTTTTGACCAATAAGATGATCATTTTATTGTCAAAATAAGTAATTTTTAGCAAATGAAAAGCTTATTGCAACAGCACAACATCTCTATATCCAGTGTGAAAGCAACACGGTGGTATAAATATGTGCATACATTGGATTACACAAAATATATTATACACATTCCAGTTAACCATGGAACAATTAACAGGAGTAGATGACTACTGATCATGGGCACAAAGTGTTTTTGTAAACAAGATTTTGAGAAACTCGAAGGAAAAGTTGGTTTCTGGAAAGATGACAATCTTGGGATTCCATTTTTGTTTTCAATGAAGTCAATGATTTTTATTTTAAGGATGTTGTATATAAGAATGCACTTTGTATTAAAACAAAGATCAATACTTTACAGTTTAAGAAACTTTACATATGTACATAAATTACACATCAGGAATGGTTTTAAAGCTCAAAATGAGTTGTGGGAAAAGTCTATTTTCCTTCTATTAAAATCTTGAACTCTTTTACGTTGTGATCATTTGCAACTGTAACAGCATGATCCAGGGCTCGGATACTTGCTAAAAGCTTTATGATCTGCTTGATGTGCTCCCTAAAAGAAGGAAGGAGAAGTCAATACAGGAACAGAACCATCAATGACATGCATTAATATTACAACAGACGATTACATTAGGAAGCCATATAGTTAATATTCCTGCTGCAGGTTTATTATATTTGCTTAATTGGGGTAATGGCAACAGCTTTGTTAAAAGCTGGGGAAAAGCAGGACAGAAGACAGAAATTAAATCAGAACTCGCTATGAAAATAAGGCTAACTGGATGTTTCTCTTCCACCACAGACTTTTACCAAGTTATCTTTTCGCCCGGTAAAAAAAGTTCTTTCAAATCTAGAAACACACTATCAAAAGAGAGAGTTCAAAAATTTAAACCTGAAACCCAAATTATTGCACTGATACACAGGACTACTGGAAGACTGGAACAAGACTGGAAGATTGTTTATTCCTGTGCTGTTGCTGTTCCCGTAGCATTTCAGGCCAGCAGTGACGTGTCTAATCTGAACTTTTCATTGAACTGGTTATTGGATTCAAGCAAAATGATTCTTGGATCTAGGGCAAAGCAGCTTCATCTACCTGGTTGTGTAAATTAAGTCAGAACTTTTCCACTGTATATGACAGACAGTTTGGAATTTAGAAGCCATTAGGCAGGAATCAGCGACAGGCTCACCCAGTGAAACAGTCCAAACGCAGGAGCTACAAAATTTAGCAGAATCATGGCATGGTTTGGGTTGGAAGGGACCTTAAGGGCCATCTCATTCCAACCTCCCCTGTCATGGGCAGGGACACCTCCCACTAGATCAGGTTACTCCAAGCCCCGTCCAACCTGAACACTTCCAGGGATGGGGCAGCCACAGCTTCTCTGGGCACC